AGGTGAAACTGCAGTCCAAGGTGGCCGTGCTCATCCGAGAGGGTGTCAGCAGTACCACGCCTGCCAAGGATTCCTCATCCTCTGGCCTGGGCTCCATCGGGGTCAAGTTCAGCCGAGACCGGGAAAGCCGCTCACCCTTCCTCAAGCCAGATGAACGAGCTCCTGCAGAGATGGCTAAGGTGGCCCCAGGCAGCACCAAGCCCAAAAAGACCAAGGCCAAGGCCAAAGCTGGGGCCAAGAAAGCAAAGGGGACCAAGGGAAAGACCAAGCCATCAAAGACCAGGAAGAAGGTCCGCAGTGGGGGCAGTAGCACGGCCAGTGGCGGGCCTGGTTCACTGAAGAAGTCCAAGGCCGACAGCTGCAGCCAAGCAGCCAGTGCTAAGGGGACAGAGGAGACATCATGGTCTGGGGAGGAGCGGACCAGCAAGGCCCCCAGTACCCCACCGCCTAAGGTAGCCCCACCTCCACCTGCACTCACCCCAGACTCACAGACTGTGGACAGCAGCTGCAAGACCCCTGAAGTCTCCTTCCTCCCAGAGGAAGCCAGTGAAGACACTGGGGTCCGAGTAGGGGCAGAGGAGGAGGAAGAAGAGGAGGAGGAAGAGGAAGAGGAGCAGCAGCCTGCAACTACCACAGCCACCAGCACTGCTGCAGCTGCCCCAAGTACTGCTCCCAGTGCGGGGTCTACAGCTGGAGACTCTGGCGCGGAGGATGGGCCAGCTGCTAGGGTTTCCCAGCTGCCCACGCTACCCCCACCCATGCCCTGGAACCTGCCTGCTGGTGTGGACTGCACGACCAGTGGTGTCCTGGCCTGTGAGTCTTCTGAAATGAGGGGAGGGAAGGGTGATGGCATAGAAGGATGGGGGATAGAAGAGATAGGGGTGGAAGGGATGGGGATGGGGGGATAGAAGGGATGGGGGAATAGAAGGGATGGGGATGGGGGGATAGAAGGGATGGAGGATAGAAGGGATGGGGGATAGAAGGGATAGGGGTGGAAGGGATGGGGATGGGGGGATAGAAGGGATGGGGAATAGAAGGGATAGGGATGGAAGGGATGGGGGGATAGAAGGGATGGGGGATGGAAGGGATGGAGGATAGAAGGGATGGGGGATAGAAGGGATAGGGATGGAAGGGATGGGGGGATAGAAAGGATAGGGATGGAAGGGATGGGGGGATAGAAGGGATAGGGATGGAAGGGATGGGGGGATAGAAGGGATAGGGATGGAAGGGATGGGGGGATAGAAGGGATAGGGATGGAAGGGATGGGGGGATAGAAGGGATAGGGGTAGAAGGGATGGGGATGGAAGGGATGGGGGATAGAAGGGATGGGGAGATGGAACAGTCCAGTCTTGGATGTACAGGTGACAGATGGAACAGAAGTATGTAGTGGTTAGCCCAGAATGGAGTGCTTGATCAGCATGCTGTCCTCCTGCTAGGTGGGGGATAGCTGGGGCTTGGGTGGGTCAGGAAGCAGGCGTTACTCTAACCAGCTCCTCTTCATATCCTGGTCCTCCTAGCCTCTGCACACATACCCCTTGTGTCAGAACATTGGGCGTCTGTAGTGGTTCTCAATAGAGGAGATCCTTTTTTTTTTCTGTTCCTAACTGAGGTTTTCTAGTTTTGGGATGAAGATAGGGAGGGACCTGGCAGCATCAGGGTTAGATGAGGGTTACTACCCACCCTGATATCGGTCTTCTCACTTTGTCCACTGCAGTGACTGCACTGCTGTTCAAGATGGAAGAAGCCAACCTGGCCAGCCGAGCAAAGGCCCAGGAGCTGATCCAGGCCACCAACCAGGTGGGCTCCCATGGGGAAGAGTCCCCACAGCCCCTTCTTTTGTCCATTGCCTCGGGGTAGGAGAGGAACTACAACTCCCAGCAGGCCTTAGGGCAAGGTATTGGCCGGAAGAGGAGCCTTTTGCTCTCTAACATTGGGAAATTGGAGGGAACAGAGGGGGTACAAAGCCTCCTCTTCCCTTCTACCTTCCTTGGCTCATCATACTCTCTTTCACAGATCCTCAGCCATCGGAAGCCACCCTCCACTCTGGGGGTGACCCCAGCTCCTGTACCCACTTCTTTGGGCTTGCCCCCAGGCCCTTCCAGCTACCTGCTTCCTGGTAGCCTCCCCATAGGGGGCTGTGGCTCTACCCCTCCTACCCCCACTGGGCTAGCCCCTGCATCTGACAAGAGAGAGGGAAGCAGCAGCTCAGAGGGACGTGGGGACACTGACAAGGTGAGATGAATTTGGAGCATCAGAGGACTAGGTGAATGGGGCAGGGTGCTGAGCAGTTACAACAGAGAACCACAGAGTAGTGCAGCTCATATTGAGTGCTTCCCTGCAAGAAGCACAGGGTTTCATCCTCAATTCCAGATAAAAAGAACTAATGTATGAAAGAATTAAAAACATTTATAGTTTGTATATGTATGTATGTGTTTATAAATACCCGTTTAATGTACCTCTCGGTTGCTTTATGTAACTGGGAGATACCAGTTTCTTAAAGAAAGGTCAAGCACTTCGGGCTGAGCTGGTCACACAGACTCAGGCCTGTAGCCCTAGCATTTATGAAGGCTCAGAGGCAAGGGAGATGGTGATGAGGCCATTCCTGGCTGGAGTGAGGAACTGCAGGCACAAAGAGGAACAGTGGTTTTGGCTGCTACTACTGGGCCTTGGACTGCTTTCTTTAAGTCCTGTCTAGATGGATTTACCTGGTCATGGCCCTGACACCACTGAAGGTACTAACCACTGCTATGCCTCACGCTGGCTGAACAGGCTTGTAGTGGAAACAGGTGGCCTCAGCTCACCCAGCCCCAGGTTTGTGAACATTGCCATGCCCTGCCAGCTAGGCTTCTAGGACTTTTCTGTGCTGTTTGTATTGTCTTGGCAAGTGTGAGGTGTGGTGTAGCATGCAGCCCCTCTTCTGTGTTACTTGAGAATCTCATGGCCCACAGAGCTGAAACTGGTTCTCCCTGTAGCTGGGACGTATGTGTCCCTGGTCCCTAAGCAGGTGTATTTTAGTGCCTGCCCTCTCCAGGGTCCGTTGGCCTACACGCATCTTGCTGTGGGCCCAGGCCCTGTCCCCTGTCTCTGGCTTCCACACGCGTGGTTGTGGGCACGGGGCTTTCCCAGGAAGCTCGGCCTCCCAGCACAGCTTCCCTTGATGGTGGTATCCCATTTTCCATGAGTCACAGGATCTATTTCCCCGGCGGTGGAAGACTGGGCCCCCTGTGATACTGTCTACCTTAGCAGCTTGAGCCACTTGGGCTTGATCGCTCAGCCTCTCCTGTACTTCTGCCAGAGCTCAGGCAACCTGGACCAGAGCAGAGTGTGAGCAGCCAAGCTGGGTGTTTCTGTTACTTAGCCTGTAAGGTCTGCTTAGGGAGAGTTGTGACCAGCTGTGTGTGGGATACACACCGCTCGAGGCTGAGGCAAGAGATTTAAAAGCTGAGGGCAAGAATAGGCAACTTAGACACTACTAGTAAACAAGCTGGGCCGGGTGGTAGAGCACCAGCAACCCCAAGCTCTCAGTTCCAGCACTGATAAAGAAACAGTAGTGTCTGACTGTCTCCCAGCAAATGGTGGGCCTGGCTAGGCCAGGGTGGCCCAGGGTCTGGCCTAGGGTAACTGCAGAAAGGGGAGCACAGGGCAGGCAGGGTGAGGGCACTGCAGGTCCTCCTTACTCGCTGGCTCTTCACTGTGCTTGTATCACCCCACCAGTATCTGAAGAAGCTGCACACACAGGAACGGGCAGTGGAAGAGGTGAAATTGGCCATCAAACCATACTACCAGAAGAAAGACATCACCAAGGAGGAGTACAAGGACATCCTGAGGAAGGCTGTCCACAAGGTGGGGCAGAGGGACTGTGGGGATGGGAACCTGGGTCCTGGAGAGGGGCATAGGGTAGGCCAAGTCATTGAGTCAAGTGAGGTGCCCTGGGGCTGGCAGGAATTCAGTTGTTCTGGCTCTGCAGATCTGCCACAGCAAAAGCGGGGAGATCAATCCTGTCAAGGTGAGCAACCTGGTGAGGGCCTACGTTCAGCGCTACCGTTACTTCCGCAAGCATGGTCGCAAGCCGGGGGACCCCCCAGGACCCCCTCGGCCACCCAAGGAGCCAGGGCCCCCAGACAAGGGTGGCCCTGGCCTGCCCCTGCCCCCTCTCTGAGACTTCATACCCTGTTCCTGCACCTCTGAGATTCTGGACATATTTATGGCTCCACTTCCCCACCACACCCCCACAGTGGGATGATGGGGTCACTGTGAGGAAGAGGAGAGCCCCCCCCCAGCCCTGCCCCTGCCCGTTATCCTGGCCCCTTAGCCTACTCCCATGGTCTCGGCCCTTCTGTCATGCCCCCTCCACTTTCATTAAAGATTTCATGAAATAGAGATGGGTGTAGTGGTACACGCTTGAAGCAGGCTGATCTCAGGCTGTTCAGGGACAGCCCTGGCTTAGAGAGATTCTCTTTTTAACAGAAAAAAAAAAAATGCTCTTTTCAGGAGAAAAGGGTTATGGGGGAGGGGGACATGGGACATCATGAAGGGTCCACACCAAACCCAGGAACGTGGTGACAGGAGGCAGGGCCCAGCCTTGAACAGCAGCTGGGCTGTTTGATGGACACTGGAGCTGACCCCATTGAGTGGCCTCTAGTGTCAGCAGCCCTGTGAGGCTGCAGTGACTCAGTCCATGATCCTAGGAGGAAACTGAGGCAACAAGGGCGACATTACCAGTAAGTCAGGCTGCCCACACTGGCTTGCCAGTTGCCCTCCATTACTACTCAGATTCCCCTGGCTCATGAAGGGAGAGCATGCAGCCCCGGGCCTGGCCTGTCTCCCGCCTCCTTTGTGATACTTTCTCCAGGACCGTGGGGAGACAGACAGCCGGTAACCATGCTGCCCTTGCCCCTTGGGCCTCACTCACCGAGCACCTAAACTCCAGCTGCATGTGGGCAAACTGAGACCTCTGTAGAGAAATCACCAGCTTGGGGACAGTGAACACCAGACAGATGTGATGGTGGCATAAACTGCTTTATTGGTGGCAGCTGGGCAGGGCTCAGGTGTCTCTGGTGGCCTAGAAGTCCATTTCCTCCATCAAGTCCTGGAGGTAGGCCTTGTACTGGTCAGAAGTGAAGGAGATAGGCTGGCTGTTGGAGATGTGCAAGTCCACAGTTCTCAGTGAGGAGGCTCCTCCTTCCCGAGCCATCTCTAACAGCTCTTTAAGACACGTGGGAACAACCTACATGGTGCAGGAATGGATCAGGGCAAATCGCTAATCAAGTGCAAGCTCCTAGCATAGCCCAGGGTGGATCCTCCCTCAAACTGGGGCTGCTAAGAACTGTAGTTCCCCCTCCCATCGTCATAACCAATGGGGCTCCTGGGAGCTGAATACTTCAAAGGCTGCAGACTTGCAGCTGACAGCTCCAGGATCTAGTGTTAGAATAAGCTGTGATGGCTAGGCCCTGCTGAAGATGGGGAACAGTGGCTGTGGAGCCCTGTTGAAGATGCTGTTTCTTTTGTTTGGTTGGTTTTTTGAGTCAGGGTTTCTCCGTAGCTTTGGAGCCTGTCCTTGAACTTGCCCTGGAGACCAGGCTGACCTTAAACTTACAATGATCTGCCTGTCTCTGCCTCCGAGTGCTGGGATTAAAGGCCTGCGCCGCTACCACCCGGCTGAGTTGCTGTTTCTTGGAGGGGCTTCTGGGAGTTTTAATCCCTGGCTGCCACAGGTTCCTCTACACATGGACCCTCCCAGCCCCAGAAGCACAAGACAGCTGTCACCTTGACCATCACAAGCCTCTTGACCCACGGCTGGTCCTGGGGCCACGACTCCCCTACACAGAACCACAGAGTGTAGCGTGGGGAGTGTCCACTTCCTTCCATGAAGGCAATCAGATCTGGGAACCCAGGAGTCAGGTCAGAAAAGAAAGGATGACCCTCTACGCTTTCCACGCACCCAGCTTACTGTCTCTCTGCCAATTCTCTGCCTCCACCATAGGCACTGCCTTTCTGGGCAGTTCCCTGCAGACACAGCTCATCCATCTCCTTTCCTGTTTCAGCAGCACCCCACCCAGGGCTCCACAGAGGGGAGGGTGGGCCCTAGTAGCTTCGTGTGGGAGGCGGCTGTTGGGATGGCTCCTCAACAACTCAGGCCTTGCTGTGGTCTCTGAACTGACACTGTCATGCCAGCCTTTGAGGACTGCCGGAGGGATGTATTTAAGGCCAGCCGAAGCAACGAGACCCTGCTTCAGAAAACTCATAGAAATGCAATGTCAAGCTGAGCATCAGCTCACACCAGGTGCCCTACCCCTAGGGAGGCCTGGGCTACAGAGGCCCTTTCTCAAAACAGCTTCAAGACTCTCCATCTCACTTGGCTCTTTGTGGGTTCTTAGCGGTCCCATGTGTATAGTGGAAAACACTGGAGGCAAGTGCGGGTCTTGTTCCCCAAAACTGCTGGACAGCAGAGCTCTAGGGGACTTATTTACCTGTAGTTTACAGGGGCACTACCATTGAGCCAAACCCCACCCCAGCGTCATTTCTGCATATTCACCATAAAATGGTTGCCAGAGCATCTTATGATGCCTGTACTACACGAAGTTCAACAGTTACAGCAGCCAGCCCCCAAATGCGGTGGTGCAGGCCTGTCCTTTGCCACAGAGCAGAGGAGCAGGCTCTGAATACAGTCCACCACCATGGCCTGTCAATCCCCATAGGGTACTCACCTGTCACAAAGGGCCCAAGGTCGAACACAACTCCGTCCTGGTCTTTGGGAACCTCTCCATCTGGCCCTCGCCCACTGTCTGGAAGCAGCTCGTCACCCAGAGCCCAGAAAGAATGGGAGTGGCCCAGACGCTGGGCCCAGAGACACTGCCCTGACCGCCACAGAAACAGCCCCTTGCCCAGCCCCTTGAGAACTTGGCTCACATACTCTCTCACAAGCCTGTCCGTCAGAAACCCCTCAGGGTCTGGCAGGGTGACTGGCTGTCCGGGCAGTGTCCTGTTATCAGCTGTGGTGCCCACCAGCCGCAGGCCCCCTGGGCAAAAGAGTGTCTGCTGGAAGACCTGCCGGCCCCGGTAGAAAGCGGTCACTTCGAACTCCCATTCTGCGTGGCGGCATGAAAAGGGGGAGATGAAGAGGACCAGGGTGGGGGCTGCTGCCCCTGCTGTAGCCCTTCCTACCCCACAGCTGGCACTCACGTTCCTCAGCTAGCAGCTGCCTCAGTGGATTTTCCTGGGGTGCCAGGTTTGGGAGGTTGTCCAGATTTGGGCTTAGTAGTAGTTGAGAGTGATCAGGAGCAATAGCCAGGCCTGAGGACCCCTCATCTGGGAGAGGTTCCAAGACCATGTCACCCAGTAATTCCCGGAGGTCTTCCTGGAGGAGGAAAGGGCTGGTCTAGTTAACAGCCTCAGCTGAGTCAAGACGGAAGCAGAGTGTTAAAGGACTGGAGGTCCAGGGGTAAAAGCTGGGCTGGGGAGGAAGGGTTGACCTAACAGGGACAGGGCAAGATGATTGCCTCCTCACCTGGGGATCAGACAGACTGCTTCTGCCATTGGGATCAGGAGAGGTGTCCAGATGTGCAAAGTCCCTTGCTGCGGTCCAGAGAGAGGGTGGGGTGAAAGAAGGGCAGAGATCCTCCTGATCCCAAGGTCTGCACCCAAGCCAGCCTGGTTACACACCTGGGGTCACAAACTCATACACTTTATGAGGGTCAAAGGGGTCCTTGCTCTGGTCATCGGCTAATCGCAACACTTCTTTCCGGTTCAGGGCTGACCGGAAATTCCTCTTCCAGGTCGACAGGTCGGGCTTATCCTTCCCTGGGACGTAGGCACCGCTGGCTTCAGCCCAGGCCTGACACACCAGTGATTGCAGGAGAGGAAGGGAGAGGATTTAGATTCTGCCCTGACTTCCTGGCACCTCCCACCATGTTCCATCCTATAGCTTCAGACCCACGGTCTCGCATTCATCGGGCCCCTAGGTCCATCCTTATCCTTTGGCTTTGAAACAGGGTCTCCACACTAACCGAGGCTGGGCTCCCACTTGTCACCGTCCTGCTGCCGCCACCAGTGCTGGGATTACAAACCCAACCACAATGCCCACCTTCAAGCTAACCCAAGACCTACTTGGTACCCACCCCAGGACACCTTTTGGACCAAGTCTCACATTCTCTCTATTGCTACCACTAGTCCATGCTAATTTGGTAACCAATAACCCCATCTATGAGGCAGTCTCAAACCTAAAGGGTTCTAAAATCGAGCCCACATCGCAAAGATCTCTCATTCTCTCAACTTTCCCAATTCTGCGATCCTTTAATACACTTCCTGGTGCTGACTGCAACCATAAAATTATTTTTGTTGGGGCTGGAGAGATGGCTCAGAAGTTAAGAGCACTGACTGCTCTTCCACAGGTCCTGAGTTCAAGTCCCAGCAACCAACCACATGGTGGCTCACAACCATCTATGAGATCTGGTTCCCCCTCTTCTGGCCTGCAGGTGTACATGCAGGCAGAACACTGTATACATAATAAATAACATCTTTTTAAAAAATTATTTTTGTTACTACTTCATAACTAGTTTAACTACTGTTATGAATTGTAATGTAAATATGCAACGAGCGACCCCTGTGGAAGTGTTGTCCTACAGACTGAGAATCTCTACTACAGAACGTTCTGTAAGTGACCCGAACTTGCTTTCCGGGTTCTATTCTTGGAAACGGCCAATCAATTCCTGTCTATCCCTCCAGTCCCAACTACCTTCATTAGCAAGACCCGCCCCTAACTAGCCACGCCCAGGAACGCCTCTCCGACGTCGCACCTGGAAGATGCCAAAGTCAGCCACCTGGGCATCCTGCCGCAGGCCGTGCTTCCACGGGATCCGGAACCGAGTGCGGCTCTCGTCCAGCCAGGCCACGCCTTCCAATTGCCCCAGGTCCAGCTGCGACACCAGCCAGGGCAAGATCCGCGGTTTCGGGGTTCCCATGCTTGGGGCCTGCGCACACAGGGCAGTTCCTGAGTATGCATGTCAAGGAGCAAATGCACTCAAACCTCTGCGCCCCGCCACAGCGGAAGAAGCCTTTCACTCATCCTTTTGTGGGGTACAAATGGGAAACTCCTTCCCACCCTTCCATCCCTAGTGGGGCCGTCTTTCCTACCCCAGCTTCTCTAGTAGAAACTCTTACCTACCCATCGGTTCCTTCTCTTTTATAAATGTAAGCCCCTCTCTATTATCCAAAGCAGGCACCCCACTTCTTGGGTGGAGCCCTCTGTTCCTAGTCTTTTCAGGACCGTGACTGCTCCCTTGCACATTTCCAGTCTTCTCCTAAATGCTTCCAAGTGCAGTCGCCTCTCCCCAAGCTTCTTCTGTTTTGGTTTTCCTATATTGTTTTTATTGACGTTTTTAGAAAGAGCCTAGAACGTTGCATAGGCTGGCCTTGAACTTGCTGTGTAGCCAGTCTGGTCTTCACCTCTCTTTGCAACCCAGATTGGCCTGGGACTCACTATGTGGCCAGGCTGGCCTCGAACGCCCTCTGTAAGCCAAGCTAGCCTCAGGTTGGTCTTCAACTCACATAACCCAGGCTGGCCTGGGGCTCATTCTGTGGTCCAGCCCGGCCTGGCACTCACTCTGGAGCCCAGGCAGGCCTTGAACTTGCGGCAATCTTACAGTCTTCAGCCTGGGTGCTGAGACTGCAGACCTTCAACGCGCTGCCCTTCTGGTTTTCGGTCGTCGAGCTCCTGCGCGTCTGGGCTGCCCCATGCTGTGCCCTGAGACCGCCACCCGTCCGAGTCTTCCGCGTTACCTACCGGGGAGGAATCGTGCACTCGTGGGGCGCTGGGGCCAACACTGGTGTCGGGGCCTCAGTAGTTCTGAGACTCGCAGCCACGCACCTCCTGTCAGCTAAGCCTCCGAGCGCTGGGACTTTCTTTTCTAACGATATTTTGAGATAAAAACAGTTTTCTCATAATTTGGGTAATAAACCCAAAAGCAGAGAGTCTACTTCTGGGCGCAACCCAACTCCCTCAATGCCCTTTTTTGGCCTTCCGCCCACAAGCATGCTGGGAACGCCATATGCAAATATACATCCCAACGCCCCGCCCCTTCAACGTTGGGGCGGTTACCAGGTCGGCCCAGTGCGCAGGCGCGGGAAAGTTGAATTTCCGAAAAGTTTGTTGAAATTGAGTGAAAGCGTGGGCGCCGGCGCAACTAGAACAGAACCCCGAACAAGGTGAGCGGGGTTCCAGGAAAGGATCAGAGCAGAAAGCGAGGGGAACCATTGCTGGGACGGCCACAGCCAGTCTTGTCTCTCTTGAGGTCCAAATTCCCAGGATCTCCGGAGCTAGCCAGAGGTAGTTGGAACTACATCTCCCAGTAGGCTGCTCGGCGAATAAACGGGGAAAACGGGCCAATGAGTGCCGCAAGGCGTACTGGGATTGGTAGTACCCTAGCCTCTAAGGACTTAAGTACCTCGATGTAGTAGTCCTAGCACTCAGCTACCTCCTCTCTCCAGACCCTTTTTCCTCGACAGAATCAACTCTCCCACTGGTTCACCCTCCGTCCTCTCCCTCAGGTGCCTCCATGGCCGGCTCTGAAGAGCTGGGGCTCCGAGAGGACACACTGAGGGTTCTGGCAGCTTTCCTTAGGCGCGGTGAAGCTGTTGGGTGCCCTGTCCCAACTCCACCCAGGTGAGTGAGTGGCCACTCCCCCAGGGCCAGACTGGAAGGTCTTCTTGAGTACTGGTCCCCACCTGTCTCCTCCCTTCAGATCTGACCCCATATGCCTGACTCCAGTTTCAAGACTGATCTTCCATGGGGTTACTCTGAGATTCTTGTCCCCAGGAGCCCTGCCCAAGAGGAGCCAACAGATTTCCTGAGTCGTCTCCGAAGATGCCTCCCTTGTCCCCTGGGTAGAGGAGCCCCTCCCCCAGAGTCCTCTCGGCCCTGCTTCCTTCCCCTACGCCCCTGCTATGACTCGGGACCTGGTAAGAGATTTTTACACTGGTTACCTATGAAACTTTAATGGCTAGGAGCTTTCGTACCTGTTAAAGGCCAGCACTGCTCAGGTTTAGCCACAACTCTTCCCCTTCAAAGTTAGACTTCTTTCTAGAGGGTAAGGGCAGTGTTGAGACATAGTTTCAGCTGCTGGAGCCTCCTGCGTCAGCCTACCTCGTACTGGAACCACAGGCACGCATCGTTAAATAAAGCCTCAGAGACAGGGTTTCCTCTATGTAGCCCTGGCCGTCCTAGAACTCCCGTTGAAGACCAGGCTGGCCTCAAACCTACAGAGATCCTCCTGTCTCTGCCTCCCAAGTACTGGGATTAAAGGCCTAACCACCACTGCCCAGCATTGAGCTTGGATTTTTTTTTTGGGGGGGGGGGGTTGAGACAGGGTTTCTCTGTAGCTTTGGAGCCTGTCCTGGAATTAGCTCTTGTAGACCAGGCTGGCCTCGAACTCACAGAGCTCTGCCTGCCTCTGCCTCCCGAGTGCTGGGATTAAAGGCGTGCGCCACCACCGCTGGGCTGAGTTTGGATTTCTACTGAGCAATTCTGTGGTTGACCAGGGGGAGGTGCTCTGGCGCCCTTCTTAGGTAATTGTCTCTTTCCTTACATAGGTGCTTCCCTGGCTCTTAAAATCTTAGGGAAGACTACTTGTGACACCAGTGCCCCAGGGCATGAGACAGGAGGCATGGTTGTTAGTCACAACTCCTTAGCCAATTGGTAATGTCAAGTAGTAGAGGAAGACTGGAAGGGGTATTGGGACTTGATCAGTGATCAGTAGACCTGGGTGTGGGGGCGCATTGCTGTAATCAGCACTTGGGAGCTGAGGCAGAAGGATTGCTGTGGGCTTGAGGCCAGCCTGGATTACAGAAAGCTGATGATGTAGTCAAGTCAGTAGAGGCCTGCCATCAGCACCTGAGGCATAGTAGTACATATCAGGAAGCAGAGGGAAGCGGCCTACACGGTCTTCAGGCACACGTGCAGGCCAAACACCCATACTCATTAAATAAAAGAAAAAATTGTTTCGTTTTGGTTTTTTTGTTTTGTTTTGTTTTTTGAGACACGGTTTCTCTGTGAAACAGTCTGGCTGTCCCATGTAACAGACTTTCTTCTTAGGCCACCAACTACCTCCCAAATCATGACACGGAGACATTATTACGAATGCCCGGCCTTTGCTTAGCTTGTCCCACTAGCTCCTACAGTTTCGTTTAACCTGTTTCTATTCATCTATGTTTTCCTCAGGACTTTTTACCTTTTTTCCATTATGTACATCCTGCTCTCCTGCTTCCTCTGTGTCTGTCTGTCTGGCCCCTGGCGTCTCTTATTCCTTCTTCCCCTGAACTTGAGATCTTCCTCCCACTTCCTCTCCCTGCCTGGTGAACCTCCTGGCGGTACCTCCTCTCTCACTATTTTCTGTTCTCTTTTGTGTGCTTACTGTTTGTATTTCGACACAGGGTTCCTCTGTGTAGCCCTGGCTGTCATCAAACTCACAGAGATCTGCCTGCCTCTGCCTCCTGAGTGCTGGGAGTAAAGGTGTGCGCCATCGAAAAAGCATTGGATTTCATGGATCTGGAGTTACAGAAAATTGGGAGCCACCATGTGGGTGGTAGGAATTGAACCCAGCTGCTGGGTTGTTCAACCTCTGATGCATTTTTCTGGCCTTCATGGGCACCATGCACCCAAGTGGTATACAGACACGCGCAGGCAGAACCCCCATATACATAAAATTAAAAAATATTTTTAACGGAGCATGCCTGATTGACGGCTTACCTAGAAGAAAGGTGTGGCTGCAGAGGTGAGTCTGCTCGATTGCTCATCTGGGAGCTGGACCAAGGTGAGGTAGCAGCAGGAATGCTATGCTTGCTCTGGTGGATGGAAGAACCTCCAAAGTTTAGCTCGATTACTTTCAGTGTAATTTGAGGGTGCAACAAAGTAGAAAGGCTAAGGATTTTCACATCTTTTATCAAATTCTCTCATGGCCTAGTTTTTACCCCTTTGTGAACTGAAAATTGTTGCTGTCTAGTAAGATGGTTTGGAGGAGAAAATTCATAAATGTATCCTGTTCTGTGGACAAAGAATTATTCTTCCCATCAGGTCCAGCTACTTCAGACTTCTATGCCATGGTTGCCCAGCGTCTGGAACAATTGGTCCAAGAGCAACTGAGATCTCCGCCCAGCCCAGGTAAGTAGCAGAGGAGCCTGGGACAGGTGAGAGTGGGGGTGAGGCCAGGACCTCTCCTCAGTCCATTCTCTTCTTACCCCCAGAGTTCCAGGGACCCCCACCCACAGAAAAGGAAGCCCTGCTAAGGAGGCTGGTAGCCTTGCTGGAGGAGGAAGCAGAAGTCATCAACCAAAAGGTGACTGGCTATGCTCTATGCCTTTGAGAGGGCAGCAATGGGACTGGGCAGAACAGGACTTTTATTGTCTTGGTGAAGAGGTGAGGCTCCAGGGCTCAGTGAGCACCAGATCATCTTTACAGGAGCTTTGGAGCATCGCCACGGTGGGACTTTAAATCCGTGGACCCGTGGACCAGCAGCATGCCAGGGAATCCAGTCAACAGAAACCACTAGAGAGGCACTAGAGATTGGAGCACAGCAGAGCCCTTGCCTAGTGACCTGAGGTCCTTAACGTTCCTCTCTGCCACCCTCTCCCCCAACTCAAATTCTCAAAAGCAAAGAACAACAAAGAGACCAGAACATGGGCCAGGAAAGAGAATGGCTGTGAGCAGGTGTGTAAAATTTGATTGTAGTAGGCTTGGTGACACACACTGCGAATGTGAGGCAGGAGGTTTTCACTAGTTCAGCTTTCTCCTGTGCCACAGAACAAGTTCCAGGGCTGCCCAGGGAGACATCGTTCAACAAAGTAAGGTTGGACATGGGCGCAGCCTTTAATCCCAGCCCTTGAGAGGCAGAGGCAGACAGAGCTCTCTGACTTAAAGGCCAGCCAGGGCTGCATAGTGAAACCCTGGTTCTAAAACTAACAAAAGAACCCTGATTGACTACAGTAAGGATATAGCTCAGAATATGGAGGAAATGCCCGCTGAAGTGAAGCGTCTGCGTTTCCTGGAACCTGATTGGCTTTCAGAGCTGGACAGTACTGTAACAGCGATTATCTGGCAGGAAACAAGGTTTCCATAAATGGCTTCAACCACTCTTTTTTCCCCTCTGGAGACAGGGTTTCTCTATTCCTGGCTGTCCTGGAACTCCACTTGTAAATCAGGCTGGCATTCTTCTGCCTCCCGAGTGCTGGGATCAAAGGTGTGCTCCAGCGCTCCAGGCTTGGCTTCAGGGGCCCTTAACTAAAGGAAAACTTGTTACTAGAACTCAGAACTCTGCTTGGCTCTGAGTCTAGCTTGACCCCCTTCCTGGAAGTCCAATGGCCAAAACCATAGAGGATGATTGGGTGGGACTTGGTGTTTGGGCTGGTTGCGGAGGGGTGCAGTTAGCTGACGCTGCCCCTCTGCCCCTCTGCCCCTCAGCTAGCTTCTGACCCAGCTCTGCACCGGAAACTTGCTCGCCTGTCAGCGGGCTCCTTCGCCCGCCTTGTGGAACTCTTCTCCAGTCGTGAAGTCAGCTCCTCCCCAAGCTGTGCAAGCCCCTCGTTGCCATGCCCGG